TATACTGGCTCACTGGGAAAACTTCAGAAATTCATATAGACATGTGAGCTCAGCTACTCAACAGCCCCTCTGCCTGAGGGATCATTCCTGGCATCCTGATACCTGAGTGCCAGACAGGTAGCCATTCCAGAAATAACAAACCCAGATGAAGACAAAAGGGTGGGATTAACTTGACTGGGAAACAGGGAAATGTAAATATCTCTTCTGTTACATTTGATGGGTGTTTGGTGGAGGGCAAGGGGAACCATGGGGCAGGGTCCAGGATGCTCAGATTACTGCCACCAGACCCCCCCTTTCATGATGTAACCATAATGTATTAGTGATGTAGTTTGGGGGGGTGGTGTAACATGGGGGATTAGCAGCTAATAAAAGTTTGGGAGCTCTTTTGTTCGGGGCTTCCACCTTGTTCCATCTTGTGGCAGGTGGGAGTCCTGTTGCGACAGTCTTCAATAAAGACCAAGCCTACTGGCTGCCGTTTTGCTCTGGTATTCCTGGCTGGTGTCCTTGTTTATTGTCCAAGGGAGCCCTCAGATTTCTCCGTTAACAGGATCATAGAGTTGGAAGGGACCCCGGGGGTCTTCCCATACGGGGCTCAAACTTGCAACCTTGGCATTATCAGCACCATGCTCTAACCAGCGGAGCTGTCAGAGAGGTTAGCATTTGCATGGGGTAGGAAGGGAGGCAGGGTTGTTGTTGTTAATTGAACAGGCAGTCCTGCATTGGAGGGGGTTGGACTGACTGGTGCCTCCCAACGTTATGATTCTAAGGCCCCTTTTTACCTTCTCAAGCACATTTATCGTGTTTTTAATATTCTGTTGGGAGCCGGCCAGGGTTGCTGGGGAAACCCAGCCAGATGGATGGGGTATAAATAATAAATAATTGTTATTTTATTTTTTTAATAATAATAATAATACAGTGGTACCTTGGGCTAAGTACTTAATCTGTTCCGGAGGTCCGTTCTTAACCTGAAACTGTTCTTAACCTGAGATACCGCTTTAGCTAATGGGGCCGCCCGCTGCCGCCGCGCCGCCACTGCACGATTTCTGTTCTCATCCTGAAGCAAAGTTCTTAACCCGAGGTACTATTTCTAAGTTAGTGGAGTCTGTAACCTGAAGCGTCTGTAACCCGAGGTACCACTGTAATATACTGCCCTATACCTGGAGGTCTCAGGGTGGTTCACAGGGCAGTGTGTGTATCTCTGTCTCTATCTCTCTATCCCTATCTATCACCTGTCCAGTTTGAGTAGTTTAGTCTGTGCTTTTACTGTGGTCTGGGGTTGGCTAGCAGAGTGAGCAGGGGGCTGCTCCCCACCTCAGTAACAACTACAAAGACACAGCAACAGGCGACACCTATTGCTTCACCTTAGGAACATAGGAAGCTAGCTCAGGGTTGTCTACAGTACACTGACTGGCATCGGCTCTCTAAGGTTTCAGACAAAGGTGTCTTCCAGCCCTACCTGCAGATGTCTGGGATTGCACCTGAGACCACTGGCATGTGCACCTACTTCCTGTTCCCCACAGCTGCTTATGAGACCAGTGGATATGTCAATGTTTATGGCACAATAGCAGCAAGCCCAGATACTACAGTACACATCAGGAAGGAGGAAAAGGGGATGCAACCTTGGTACAGTGGTACTTCGGGTTACAGGCGCTTCAGGTTACAGATTCTGCTAACCCAGAAATAGTACCTTGGGTTAAGAACTTTGCTTCAGGATGAGAACAGAAATCGTGCTCTGTCGGCGCGGCAGCAGCAGGAGGCCCCATTAGCTAAAGTGCTGCTTCAGGTTAAGAACAGTTTCAGGTTAAGAACAGACCTCCAGAACGAATTAAGTTCTTAACCCGAGGTACTACTGTATAAGGCAAAGGGGAGGTGTGGAGCTTGGGAGAATCCTCTTCTCTCTAGCTTTTCAAACAGCACTTTTCCAGGATCAACAGCTGCAAGTTGATTCTTATTTCGGGGAAGAGCTGAAGTGCACTTGGCACTCATCTAACCAATCCACTTGAGGCAGCTGGAAAAGGGAGTTTGACAAGGTCCTTGTCTGTGGTTCAATCAAGTTTCTATCACTTGAGCTGAGAGGGGGCGTGCGTCTTGGCCGACAAACTCCTGCTTGGAGAGAATCACAACAAACTCTTCATCCACGGGCCGGAGGCGTTTGCAGCTAGGGTGGCGCAATAATGAAAAGCAGCAACAGGAGAAGATACTGGCTGCAGGAATCCATGGGAACCACAGTGCCTAGGTTGCGGCTGACCATGGGGGTGCTGGGAATTGGAGTCCAACAACATCCAAAGGGTGCCACATTGGCAAAAGCTGCAGCAGGGAAAGCCCGAACGCTGAGTGTGTTGGAGTGGCCTGCGCTCAAATCCCTTGGGGCCAGTCACTATCTCTGGGCCTACCTCACAGGGGTGAAGGCTGCCCAGCCTCTGCCTAAAGACCTCCAGGAAGGGGGAGGCCCAGTTGGTAACTAATCCCATTGCCAAGTTTCAGGAAGATTCTCCTAGCAATCAAAGTTTGTCCTCCTGTAACTTAAGACCCGTTAATTCTAGTCTGTATCTTTTTCTTCTCCAGTATCAACAGGAGGTTCCTGCTGTGGAAAGGCTGCTATGAGTCTCATCTTCCATCTTGCAATTCTGAACTGTTTCTAACTAAAACATTAAAAAAGAAAAGAAAAACGCTTTTCTTGTGCGTCTTGAATTCCTCAGTAGCTTCAACCACCAAATATTTGGGTCACTTTTTAATGGAGCTCAGAACGTGTGTGTAGTGCGGAACATATAACGAAACGTCATTTTTGTACAACACAAAAAACAAAGTCAGTGTTTAGAGTTCTGGTTTTATAAATTTCTTTGTGAGCATTCAAAACTTGTTTTTCACAATATTGGTGGTTTTTGTTTTTGTTTTAAAAAAAACCAACAACACCAGTCCAACATGCATATGCATATGCACACGCGCACACACACACACACACACAGAGAGAGAGAGAGAGAGAGAGTACGGCTGGAATTTTTAGGGATTTTTTTTTAAAAAAAACAACCAACAAACCTGGGTTATGCACAGTGAATTAAATATACAAATCAGGAAAATAAGACACAAGATTTGCCCACACTGGAAGAATGGCAAACGCAACTGATAGACTATATGGAGCTGGCCGAGATGACTGGCAGAATTCGAGACCTGGGAAAAGAGGAGGTGGAAGAGGACTGGAAGAAGTTTAAAGACTATTTACAAAAACTATATAAATTGTATGAATGTTAAGAAGGTGCATGAAAGGAAAGATTATGGCAACAGCAGCTTAGATGAGATATGTATGAGAATAAGCTGAAATACAAAGATAAGTTTTGATGAGATTTGAAGTAAAGTTATGCCTAAATTAAGCAGTTAAATATTTGATGGAATTAGTTAAAACCAGAGGCATAACATATTAGAATTAGAATATAAGATCTGAAAGAAGATAATAAATTGCTGAACATAACTTTTATATCGAGAACGCAGGAAAGGGAAACGTGAGGAAGTCCAGATGATTATGGAACATATGTATGAAAAACTGTGTTTTTCTTTTTTTCTTTTCTCTTTTTATATATAGTTGATAGTTATGTCTTTTATGTTTGATATATGTTTGGTTACTTCCTTTTTTCTGAAAACTTAATAAAATATTATTTTTTTTTTAAAAAAGGAAAATAAATGGCAACTCAGTCCTCTGGTGGTGCATTAGCTGTGACAGGCATAAAAACACAAGAAGAATCAAAGATCAACTGTGTGCTGTGTGAAAAAGCTCTTTCTTTTGCCTGTCCTGAACCTTCCTGTCCACTGAACTCCGTCCCATGGCTTGGAAGGCTCCTACAAGTCCTCAAGTTCCCTTTCTCATTGGCACAATGTGCCACAAGCAGAAATGCTTCAGAAACAGCAGGATTACGAGGCGGGAGAGTATTATTTAATTGGAGAGGCCTTGGCAGCTTATTTTCCTGGTGCTCCCAGGCCAAACAGGAAATGCTTCTGCTGAACCATCCAGGCTGGAGGCAAAGCAGAAGAAAAGGTTAATTCCCTTCTTCCTTTTGAGAAAGTCTCCCCGCAGCAGCTGTGGTTCAGTTAGTTGAGTCACAAATCCAGTTTGAACCTCCTGACAACAGAGCTCCCTCTCTCCTCACCCAACTTACTAGCCCAGGTTTAAGGCGTTTGTGACTCGAGTAAGGTACAAATGACTTCGTAGAACTTCAGAGCCAGCTTCAGAGGCAAGATGGAAACCTGAACGCACCAATCAAAGAAAGAAGGGGAGATTCTGTTTTTGCCAATGCATGTTGGATCTCTTTTGTCTCCTTCCCGGTACCCTTTCTCTGTGAAACATATGAAGCTGCCTTATACTGAGTCAGAGCAAAAAAAAAGGTAAAGGTAAAGGACCCCTGGACAGTTAAGTCCAGTCAAAGGCGACTATGGGATTGCGGTGCTCATCTCGCTTTCAGACCGAGGGAGCCAGCGTTTGTCCACAGACAGCTTTCTGGATCATGTGGCCAGCATGACTAAGCCGCTTCTGGCAAACCAGAGCAGCGCACAGAAACGCCATTTACCTTCCTGCCGCAGAGGTACCTATTTATCTACTTGCACTGGTGTGCTTTCGAACTGCTAGGTTGGCATGGAGATATCGGGGATTGAACTTGGGACCTTCTGCATGAAAAGCAGATGCTCCAGCACTGAGCTACAGCCCTTCCCTTGACTTGTGAAGCTGTTTATTGCTTAGGTCCCTGCTCCAGTCAATAGGACTCTGCCGCTTCCTCTCAAAATTGCACTCCAAACCCAATTTCTAACTTTATCTTGTCTAGGCTGCCATGCCTAGACTGGATCCAGCCTGTCTCCTATCCAGAGCCCCTAATCCTCTAGCAATTGCCTGTGTAGGCTGCGTTTTCCGATTTCAACATTGGTTTCAGCCAATGGCGATGGCTTCCTTTGGTTCGTGGTGTCTCGCAGCACAACAAAATGAGGCGATGCAAAGAAGTCAAGCTGGAGATCTGGGCTCAATTCCATTCACATGATCTTTAAGAAACTTTCGTTAGAAGAAAGAGTTAAATGCCACACTTACAGAAAGCATAAATGGGTTAAGAACTTGCTCATCCAGATGAAATAGTGCAAACATTTATATGCAAGGGAGAAATCTGCACAACAGTTAACCACAAATATACATTTTTTCCACGCTGAGAACAATGCTTTAGAGGTGCTCTGCAATATAAATACATGTTGCTGAAACAAAATTTGTCAATGCAAGAAGCTATTGGCTTTGAAAATCTAAAGCCGTTTCCAATAAGTGTGGGAGTCTACATTATAAATTAGATAATATGAGTTTAGACATTGGCACTTTCCAGATCTTGCCCAAAGGGACTCCATATTGTTGCAGTAAGACGCGCAGGACCAGGAGAAGAAAGAAATAAAATCCAAGTTTATACAGCCCACACAGAGTTGAAACAATATGCCTGTTTTTTGCGTGGATCATATGAACTACAGTGCTAATCAATACAGGTATGTATTTTAAAACTGAATATAACTATTTCCCTTGAAGAAACACAAATAGTTTCAAAAAGGTATTTTGATATACAATTTAAATTCAGAGCTGTAAAAAATATTTATATTATCAGCCCAACAAATACCAGATAGAAAGAGCCCGGATTTTGAGATCTATATGGTTATTGAATTAGCTAGTTGTCATGATTTCAAATCCAACCAATTAATATTCCTGGCTTGCCTTTTTTTTTTTTTAAGTACACTTCCATTCTCTGCTAATGTTAAAGCTTTGAGTACGTTGCTTACCTAACTCTTTCCTCTTAGGCAAGAATTTTTTTCTCTAAAATGCTTTGAGGATTACAGGTGAAAAGTACAGTTTAAAAACTAAAAGTAGATCCTTATATAAGGACTGAATGAATATTAAAAGACTCCCCCGCCCACCCACCTTTCCATAAATTACTTTTTTTTTAAAGTAATAAAAAAGGGGAAATCAACTTTCTGAAAAATATTACATTTACTGCCTGCATAGACATCAGTTCAAGAGCATTAGGAGAACCCACCAAGCATGGCTCCTGAGAAATTGTTAAATGATTTCAAGAGATTTCCATGGAAATCCCACATGCCGTTGACAGATCTCTGGAATGGAGCGGCCAGTTTTTGAAAAGAGACCTAAATTGGGCTCAGAGTGGTGGCACTTACAGATGTGAAGATCAAGAGAAACAGGGAAAAAGTAATATGAGGTTGGGTAAGTTTCCTCCCTGGTTTTTCCACTGGAGAAACTGGAAATCTGGGGAAACATTGATAGAAAAGTTTACACCTTTTCTCTTTCAGAATGGTGAGCTATTTTTATACTGTTTTAGAGGAATACTACTGAAAACCTCCTAGACTCAAGATTCAAAGGCAGCAGTTTGACATTACCCAATGGCCTTGAGAATTTGACTGCAAAACCCAACTCAGGGCCAAACCCAGGGAGTTGGGAACCCTAGTCCAGCACAGTCCCCACTGCACCTTTTGCCAACTTACAGATGTTGTGGAATGACAACTGATAGGAGCAGGACCAAAACAACATCTGGAGGGCACCAGGTTGCCAAAGGATGCCGCACTGAAATAAATGGAGGTTGTGTTTAGCTGCTGATGTTGGCAGGCCTGCAAACACACTTAGCTTTCAGGCGGATGCTCGGCGGGTTATCGTTTCATAGCTGCCTCCCTGTGTTTGTGTGTGTGCGAGAGACACAGCCCGTCTGCAGAGATGTTTGTTTCTCTTGCAAGCAGATGTTTAGCACCAAAAAAAAAGTACACAGTTGTCTGCCGACGATAACCCTATTCCATCACTCAACTTTATAATACTATCTGTAACGCTCCCGGGAAATTAGTTAACATAAGCAACTGAAAACTGGAGACATAAACAAGTTTTCCCCCACCCTTGTCCAAATATATATATATTATATATATATATTATATACACGCATATATAATTATGACATAGACTTCTTGTGTATGTTTTTGTGTGTCAACATCTTAGAAAAATATAAATGTGTTCCAAGCATCCTTTGCAACTCCACAAGTAGTACATCATTTGATCATCAGAACAAGTACGCAAACGAGACGGGATGCCCTTTAGCTGCCTTGTCGATTCTAGTGCTATAGCTTCCATCTTCGTAGAGCCAGGGTAGTGCTGCACCCATAACACACAGTTGTTGCAAAGGCAAAGATCTGCAGAGGGAGGAAGGAAGCGCCAGGTGAGTTTTCCTGTAGAAAATTGTCTGTTCCACTAGATTTCAAATCCCTCTTCCCTCCCAATCAGAAACTCAGATATATGAGCTAATCATCACATGGCTCCTTAAATCAAGGTTATGGTTACCACAACAGAATGCCTAGGCACCTTTTTTGCAGTGAGATTTATTATTATTATTATTATTATTATTATTATTATTATTATTATTATTATTACCGCCATACATTGGATCTCAAACGCCTTGGGCTCCCTAACAAATTGACTCTCGAACGATCAAAACCCAGAAGTGAGTGTTCCGGTTTTTGAACTATTTTTGGAAGCTGAACGTCCAACTTGGCTTCTGATTGGCTACAGGAGCTTCCTGCAGCCAATCAGAAGCCGCACTTTGGTTTCTGAACGTTTTGGAAGTTGGAACGGACTTCCGGAACGGATTCCGCTTGACTTCCAAGGTACGACTGTATTATTATTATTATTCGTTTCATTTCTATGCCACTTGATATTTTAAAGGAAAAAAACCTCAAAGCGGTTTACAACACATTAAAACATCAAATAAAACAATCCAGAACAAAACAAATTCCAGCTACAAGAGAAATATTTCAGGTCCTTCTCTAACTGACTTTTCCCTTTCCCCATATTTAGTTGCCTGCTTAATTTATACAGCTGCCCCATAGCATAAGTTCTCTAGGAAGCCAGCGTGATGTAGTCATTAGAGCAGGGGTAGGCAACCTAAGGCCCATGGGCCACAAGTGGCCCACGGAGGTCGTTTAACTGGCCCACGAGCCACCCCTGAACCAAGTCGCCCACTTGGTGAGTCCCCGCGCGCTGCGCTAAACCGGTGCAGCGCGGCGCGAGGACTCACTTCTGCAGTGCCGTAAATCGCGTCTGCGCATGCTCAGATGCTGAAAATCGCATCTGGAAATCGTGTCTGGGCAGATGCAGATGCCGGAAATTGCGGCCGCGAATGCATTTCAGCCCACGGAGGGATCTCCGCTGGAGTGAACCGGCCCAGGCGAGGTAAACCTTGCCAACACCTGCATTAGAGTGTTGGACTAAGACCTGGGAGATCCAGGTTCAAATCACCAATTCGGTTATGAAGCTCACTGGAGTCAGTCACAACCTCTTAACCTACCTCACAGGGTCATTGTAGGGATTAACTAAGGAGGGGAAAGGGGTGAACCACGTTCTCCTTGGAGAAAAAAGATGTTTTAAACAGAAAGTGAAGTGATGCAGAAATACTATTTGGCAGGACTCACTGTGGCTTTTTTTGGCCTGCAAGTCTGGGTTCTCCCTATAAATGAATACATACAAACACAAAGAGCAGTTCCTGCTGGATCAGGCGAGGACCCATTTAGTCCAGCATCCTGTTGGATGCTCATAGGAACCCCACAAGCAGAATTTGAGCAGATCAGCACTCTTTCCACCTGTGATGCCCACCAACTGGTATTTAGAGCTATACTGCCTCCGACAGGGGAGGGAAAACATCATGGTTAGCAGACATTGAATGAGTCAGTCCTTCAACAAATACACCTATGGGCTACTATTAAAATGAGGCTGCATTTTAAATTGTATTTTAACCCGTACAGTGGTACCTCGGATTACATACGCTTCAGTTTACAGACTCCGCTAACCCAGAAATAGTACCTCAGGTTAAGAACTTTGCTTCAGGATGAGAACAGAAATCGTGTGGCGGCAGTGGGAGGCCCCATTAGCTAAAGTGGTACCTCAAGTTAAGAACAGTTTCAGGTTAAGAACGGACCTCCAGAATGAATTAAGTTCTTAACCCGAGGTACCACTGTATTTTAATAAACTGTTTTCCCCCCCATTAGGTTTTATTGTAATTTTATTGGTGTTAGCCTCCCTGAGCCCAGCTCTGGCAGGGGAGGGTGGTAAGTAAGTAAGTAAGTAAGTAAGTAAGTAAATAGAATTATTATTATTATTATCATTATCATTATTATTATTATTATTATTAGTGACCCCAACATTGACCACAGTGGCTTGCCCACCTCAGTGGCAGAGCTTCATGCTCTGGCACTGGGGGGTAGAGAGCAGGTGGGGGCAGGGCTGGCGCGCGTCCTGGGGGTGGCACCCTACCAGGATCACGCTGCCGGGGGTGGTGTGCTCCCCCCTCACTCCTCTTCCTCCGCCAGTGGCCCACCTCCAAGCTTTAGGCAGGAGCCTGCTCTCTTCCAACCCCAACCTCCCATTTCCCCTCACCAAAAGGGCACTTAAAACATCATGACTTTAAAAGGAAATAATGGGAAGAGCAACACATTTTTAAAGACCTGCAAAACTGCCCCTGTTGGGTCGGTGGGATAGTAAAGTATTCCTCAGGTTTCACAAAGGAAAAGTGTGTGTGTGGGGGGGAGAGAGAGAAATCTTGCTGGGAGATTCCCTGAATAACATGTTCTTTGATCTACCTGTTCATCAAAGCCGTTGAGGTGAGTCACCCAAAAATAATGTGGATGACATCAACTTTGGTTATATAAGTTTGGCATTAATTCTCAACCTGAAACCTCTCCAAGGGTTAAAGGGAAAACGTAATCCAGGTTTCTTTCTAACGTTGGGACTGTGCTCCATAGATTGCTTAATGGCTTTGATGTCTCCCTAATGCCTTGGTAATAAAGCAGATCTATCTGAGCACCAGCCCCACCAAGTTCAAAGTGTATCCTTACGTAAGCATGCTTAGCAATGGCAACCCAGGTTTTGTTCTTATTAAAAGATAACTAATCCCTGATTGTGCATGATATTCGCCCCTTTTGGGTCACAAGGAACCAGGGCAGTGACTCAAGTGGGTGTCCAAGCAGACATTGAAGATTTAGCCTTACTTTGGCCACCTCATGAGAAGAGAAGACTCTCTGGAAAAGACCCTGATGTTGGGAAAGATGGAGGGCACAAGGAGAAGGAGACAACAGAGAATGAGATGGTTGGACAGTGTTCTTGAAGCTACCAGCATGAGTTTGACCAAACTATGGGAGGCAGTGGAAGACAGGAGTGCCTGGCGTGCTCTGGTCACGAAGAGTTGGACACGACTAAATGACTAAACAACAACAACATACATTTTAGACAGGTTTAACTAGTCATAGATCCCTCCAAAGAATCTTGGGTGTTGTAGTCTGGTGAAATATTAGTATTCTCTAGTATGTCATTCTCAGAAACGTTGCAACAGGAGTACTCTACACAGCACATTTCAGATGCTGTGGGATTTCAGAAGTTGTGGGAAGTCCCAATGGCAAGGGATGATGGGAGTTCTAGTCCAACAGAATCTGAAGGACGCCATGTTGGCTACCCCTGACTTACAGCTTTCAGGGTTTCCTGGAGAGGAGAAATGATTATTAATCTGCACTGTGTGTCCCCAGGGGTCCACCTTAGGGGTGGATTGAGGACTGGAGTCCTATAAAAGCCATAATGGGAGGGAGAAAGCTCAAGAGGACCCTTTGAAGAAACAGACAAAGAACAGGAGGAGAACCATGGATAGTCATGTGTCAGTGTTTGGATAGCCGGACATCACCAGAAATGGCCCATGTGTCAAGCATTAATGGGGAAGGGGGCCCAAGAAGCCTAGCTAGACATTAGAGAAATACTCCAGCCCTTCCCACAGCCTCTCAGGGGAAGGAGTGTGGCTCAGTGGAGAAGCACATACTTTCCTCAGAGAAGGTTGCAGGTTTAATAGCTGGCACTTCCTGTTAAAGGGGTCGTGTTATAGGAAGCGGTGGGATAGATGATGGAGGGCTGCTGCCTGTCCAGAGCAAGCTGCACTGGGGTATGAGCCAAAATAAGGCAGCTTCCTATGTAGCTAAGAGGGTCAGTCGCAACTCCTAAGGGGGCACAGCTCCTCTCCCTGCCCTGCCCCCAATTTAAGCACTTCAAAAGTGGCACAGGCAGCAGTAGTGAAGAGCAGTAGCTTGACCCATGGGGTCAGCTCAGCATCAATTCAGCTCCACATTATGGATTTCCTACTCACTCTTGCTCTGTTAACCTGTTTTGCAGCTTCGTAAACCACAGGCAAAACCACCAGGGTGTGGTGTTCTCTCTCTTTCTCTTTCCCTCCCTCCCTCTCATCCATAGCACTCATACTTGCCAAAAAAAAGCCTAGTCATCACTAGTCAAGGCTTCCCAAACAAGGAAGTGTCATAATCCTGACACTATACAGCAGGGACGTCCAACTTCCAAGAGACTCACACTATTAAAAAAAACTGGCAGTGATCTACCCATTGTCATTGGAGGATGGACCAGAGTTGTTGAGCTTTTTTTTGAGAAGGCGGGTGGCGCTGTGGGTTAAACCACTGAGCCTAGGACTTGCCGACCAGAAGGTCGTGGTTCAAATCCCCACGATGCGGTGAGCTCCCGTTGCTCGGTCCCTGCTCCTGCCCCACCTAGCAGTTCGAAAGTACGTCAAAGTGCAAGCAGATAAATAGGTACCGATCTGGCGGGAAGGTAAACGGCATTTCCGTGTGCTGCTCTGGTTCGCCAGAAGTGGCTTAGTCATGCTGGCCACATGACCCGGAAACTGTACGCCGGCTCCCTCGGCCAATAAAGTGAGATGAGCGCCGCAACCCCAGAGTAGGCCACGACTGGACCTAATGGTCAGGGCTCTCTTTACCCTTTACCTTTACCAAGGTTGTTTTAGGAAGCAAAAGTTGTTGAACTTTTTTGAGGGGGAGGGAGATCGACCTGGGGGGTGGCGATCGACCTGGGACACCCCCGTGATCTGCCAGTAGATTGCGATCTACCTGTTGGACATGCCTGCTATACAGCAACTAAGATTCTGACAGAGAGCAGAAAGAACCAGCTGCATCAGGAAAACCAGCCGTGCAAGCCATAGAGGGGTTGAACCCAGGTTTAGGCCTGGACTCCAAGCCTGAGCTGCAACCCCTCCAACCTGAGGCCCTCAAACTACCAGCGGCGGAGCGTGCTTTAACTGCGCCTAAAGCGCATGTGTGTGCCCAGGGAGCAGGACGCGAAGCAGAAGGAACCCGTTGCATGACATACCAGCTCTCACCGCCAGAGCGACACCAGGCCTGTGCCACTTTGTGAAGCTTTAGAAAGCAGTTCGGAGAGGGCAGCCTGAGAAGAACGTCATGCGCCCCTTGCATGTAGCTTTGCCCCCAAGGAGCTGGGATCGAAGGGCGCAAGGCTGTTGCGTCCTTTTTGCTCCGCCCTCCCTGGGCCAGCCCTGCTTTGAACAGATTCCAGCCTCGCAAGATAGAACAGGGCTGGCTCGGGAACAGTGGTGTGAGCAGCACGCCCCCCCCCAAATGCACCTGGGAAATCGCCCCGGCAGCCTCCCCCCACCTGCAAACCACCAGAGACACCAACCAATAAGTTGTTCTTCCCTGAGAAAGCTGCCCCTTGCACACTGAGCACCTCAAACTCACCGATGCCTTCTCAGCAGGTGATGCCCAAGAGCACATAATAATAATAATAATAATAATAATAATAATAATAATAATAATAATTTATTATTTATACCCCACCCATCTGGCTGGGCTTCCCCAGCCACTCTGGGCAGCTTCCAACAAAATATTAAAATACAGTAGTCCATCAAACATTAAAAACTTCCCTAAACAGGGCTGCCTTCAGATGTCTTCTAAAAGTTTGGTAGTTATTTTTCTCTTTGACATTTGGGGGGAGGGCATTCCACAGGGCGGGTGCCACTACCGAGAAGGCCCTCTGCCTGGTTCCCTTTAACTTGGCTTCTCGCAGCGAGGGAACCGCCAGAAGGCCCTCGGCGTTGGACCTCAGTGTCCGGGCAGAACGATGGAGGTGGAGACGCTCCTTCAGGTATACTGGAGGCTCTCTACTTAAAGTGGACAAAGCTTAGGTAGGGTACTCCCGGTGCAGTACAGGATCAGGTTTAAGGTGCTGGCTTTAACCTTTAAAGCCCTATACGGCCTAGGACCCTCATACCTATGGGACAGCCTCTCCTGGTATGTCCCACAGAGGACCTTACAGTCTGCAAATAACAACATCCTAAAGATTCCGGGCCCCAGAGAGAACAGACTGGCCTCGACCAGAGCCAGGGCCTTTTCAGCCATGGCCCCGGCCTGGTGGAATACTCTCTCATGAGAGACTAGGGCCCTGTGGGATTTGACATCTTTCCACAGGGCCTGCAAGACAGAGCTGTCTTGCTGGCCTTTGGTCAGGATTCAGTCTGACTCATTTTCTCCTTGTATAAGAACAAGCACGAAGGAGGTTCCCAGCCCGCTCACAGGTGCTTATAAATATCAGTGGAAACAGTTGGTAACCGCCTTCAGTTTTAACCTGAATATTGCCACTTGTCCAGTTTTAATTTGTTTGAATTAATTGTGGGATGTATCTTAATGTATTGATCGCTTGTTTTTATGCATTGCCTTACTTGTATGATGTTAGCCGCTCTGAGCCCCGCTTTGGCTGGGAGGGTGGGATATAAATAAAATTTATTATTATTATTATTATTATTATTATTATTATTATTATTATTCCGGCCTGAAAAAGATTAAATGTGGGCCTCCGCAGGGAAACCTCCAGGACAAAGAAGTAACTGCTCGGACACAGGGCTTTAAAGCGTGGACCACTGTCTAGGAACACAACACAAAAGGAAGCCTGGGTAAGCCCTCAAGGCATTACAGTACAGTGGTACCTCGGGTTATAGACGCTTCAGGTTACAGACTCCGCTAACCCAGAAATAGTACCTCGGGTTAAGAACTTTGCTTCAGGATGAGAACAGAAATTGCAGTGCAGCGGCAGCGGGAGGCCCCATTAACTAAAGTGGTGCTTCAGGTTAAGAACAGTTTCAGGTTAAGAATGGACCTCCAGAACGAATTAAGTTCTTAACCCGAGGTACCACTGTATCCCATCAGAGCCGTCTCATGGTCAGGAGAGGAAGACAGGTCTGAAGGAGAGAGAAGAGCAGGGAGAAACTTGTCCCCTCTCCCCCTTTAAGGATGTGCCTTTACAATACTTACGGCAGCTGCGATGCTCAAGTTGTATTCGTGTTCACTTAGAAGCTTCTCAAAGCTAGTGGTAGTGATGTTCCTGGTGGTGTCGAAATTGACGGTGTACTTCACCGGGTGAGAATGCAAAGAGGTGGTTGCCGCTTGCAGTAGAAAGGTCCCAAAATAGCAGACAAAGACACCTGCGTGGTAAATGAAATCCTGAAAAGGAACAAAAATTAAAATAAAGAGTCGGTTCGAGCGGAACAATAAAATAAAAGCAGGATTAATATTTGTTATTAAATTTATACCCCACCTCTGCTCCACAGAGCTCAAGGCAGAGGCACGTGCATCTCGATTTTATCCTCACAACCTCTGAAAGGCTGAAAGACAAGGACTGGCCCAAGGTCACCCAGTGAGCTTCAGGACTTGAGCCTGCCAGGTCCTAGTTAGACGCTCTAACCACTACTCCACACAGCCTTTCTCTTTTGGAGCAGGCAGGGCACCACACGTGGGTTTTTCCTTTCTGCAGTAGGCTAATTCCTACCCACCCACCCCACTCTGTATGCTCCATCTAGGGAAGCAAGAGGCATTATACACACACCTCAGTATTTTCCTGGGAAATACTGAAATTACAGAAGACATCCTGGCTTCTGATTGGATGGCAGAATGTCCCAATTTCTCCCTCTCCAGTACTGCCACCACTGAGTTCAGGGAGATCTTTCAGAGCTGTGCTCTCGCATGAGCCTGCTGACTTGCATGGAAGCACAGCACCGAAAAGACGCATTTCCTGATTTTCATCAGAAGAATATTGGAGGGTATGTTATCAGAGTTCAAGAACACAACTCAGCCAAGCAAATACACTTGGAGGTCCAGTGAGGGCTGGGCCTGGGGAGAATTCTAAGGGCCAGAGACAACAGCCTAGAGGACCACTTTCGGCCCACAGACCCAAAGTTTCCCAATCCTGATTTATATGGTAGAAACAAAACAGGAATGAATTCAGGGCCTAACCCTGTGCAAAAGGAAAAATGGGATGTCGCTGTGCTTAGGGTTTTGGTAGTTGCTCACACCTGCAGCAGCTACCAAACAATATTGTCGGGAAATGCCAAATGTGTCCTGCATATTTTTTCCTCTTCCAGGGAAAAGATCAGGGATGGTGTAGGCTGGCAGATTTCCTCCTAACATTTAGCAAACTCCACAGGTTTGCTTCTTTACTTTCTCTCATATGAGCGAACAGCTGCTGTTCAACCCTACAGAGGAAAAGTAATGTGTACTGCATTTGAGGTAGCTGGAAGGAGAGTGTGGCAAGATTTGTGGTTCCAGTGAGTGGAAACGCAGGCTGTGTGTGTGTGTAAATATGTACATAATGTGTCTCTGTGTGAGATCTCGCAGAGAACCACTGCAATATCCTCTTTGAATATAAGGCCTTCCCTTCTCACACAGGCCATCATATAAAAGGGCATTCTCCTGGAGTATGATAGATGAAGCCACAAGGCGATTCACAGAAATTCAATTACTGTTCCTGTCTTAGGAACACACAAGGGAACCAGGATCCTTTGAGGAAACAAGCAGCACAATAAGCAGTTTGTAGTGACCATGGACCATAGGCGCCGACTCCATGGGGCTTGAGGGGGCCCGAGCCCCCTCAAAAATTCGTTTGGGGGGGCTCTGCCCCCCCAATAATTTCCGGCGCCCCTCCAGCAGAGCGCCATCGCCGCCCCTCCCCCAGCCCAAAATGCACAGGGTCGGGCTGCATGCCTCCTGCCCTCCCTCCCGAGCAAAAGCTCCACCTTCGGAGCTGATTAATAGGAGCAGCACGCTCTCCCCTATTCGCTCACGAGGAGGCGGCGCCACTTTATTTGCATATTCATGAGCTTATTTATTATTCATGAGCTTTCCCGGGCCCCCCCAATATTTTTTATAAGTCCGCGTCCCTGCCATGGACTAAGGACCACCATTCATCTCCTGGGCCTTCAGATGTCCGCTGGGCAACACCTTTGCTCAAACTTCTGGCCGATGAAGGGACCACATACATCCCGTATGAGTAGCCCAGTGTGTGCAGGTCTTTGTGGGTGTTTTCAGAAGGTAGATGATCTCATTTCCTCTACCCGCCTGGAACTTCCTCTGCCCCTTGGCAACCAGTACAATAAAGTTCTCTGTCACTAGTAGAAGGACGGAAACCTTTGCCAGAGGGAAAGGCATGTTTTTGTTTTTTAAAGATTATGGGGGTCCAAATTCAATAACCCACACCATTATTTGGACACAGACAAAACCAGAAAACCACTGGAACAGAACTGACAAAATAAGGACCCACCCATTCCAAAAGGGTGTTGCATTGTGGGACAATTAAAATGGCAGCCGTGCCAGCAAGCCCACTGCTTCTTTCTCTTGTTGCCCTCGACACCTCTGGATCACACCCACTAGCTTCCCTATGTCACTCAGCTGTCTTGCCCCTCACAACTGCTATTCAGGGGCAGAGGAAGGGGTGTGTGGCGGGTGTGGGCCGCCCCAGGTGTGACCAAGGGTGACAAATGGCGGACACCACTCACCATGGGGCCTGCAGCACACCCGAGCCACGCATCTCTCCCAGGAGAGACACGGTGGCTTGGGGGCACGCAGGCTCCGCGCTGCCCAAACAGTCCGTCCGCCCCCCCCCAGCTGTAGGGCGGCTGAGTGGGAGGAGGCAGGCAGACTCTGGAGGCCCCGCGGTGTGCCCCACTCCTATGGGCGGCTCGCCCCGCGCCTGGGCGCACCGCCCCAGACGCCCGAGCGGCTTCCTCCGCCGCTGCTGCTACCTCCTCCACTCTGTAACAGAAACAAAGAATCCCAGGTAGAATCTACATATGTACAAAAAAATTTCTGAAAATGCTTTTTTGTGCATTTTATTAAAAATACTTTTCCATACGGCTCACCATCGACCATCTAGTGTCACATAACATATTGCACTTAAAATGTTTTATTTGCAGCTGTATAGCTGAGTCCCCAGACTGCCAGAGATTTTTGCCCCTATTCGCTTATTTATTCCAGTTGCACCACTGAAGAGTCTCCATACTAGGACAGACTCTACTGACAGCTCCAAACTTCAGAGAGAACAGCTCCCTCACCAGGATTGGCTCCCACTTCAATGAAGCCACTCTAAAGGAAATGTAAGGTAAAGGTACCCCTGACTGTTAGGTCCAGTCACGGACGACTCTGGGGTTGCGGCGCTCATCTCGTTTTACTGGCCGAGGGAGCCGGCGTACAGCTTCCGGGTCATGTGGCCAGCATGACTAAGCCGCTTCTGGTGAACAAGAGCAGCACACGGAAACACCGTTTACCTTCCCGCCGGAGCAGTACCTACTTATCTACTTGCACTTTGACGTGTTTTCAAACTGCTAGGTGGGCAGGAGCAAGGACCGAGCAACGGGAACTCATCCCGTCGCGGGGATTTGAACCACCGACCTTCTGATCGGCAAGTCCTAGGCTCTGTGGTTTAACCCACAGTGCCGCCCACGTCCCTACAAAAGAAATGTAGGCCCTTTTTTAATTTATGCAAAGGAAATGTAGGTTTGCATAAAAAGGATTCTGGGATAACAAATTAGCTGCTTTTTTTAAATAAGACCTTTTGCAGACAGGGAAATGACAGGGATATGCACTATAAAGTGTGGGATAAACATAGGAAACTGCCTTATCTCAAGTCAAACCATCTAGCTCAGCATTGTTTACTCTGGCTGGCAGCAGTTTTCCAGGGTTTCAGGTAGGAGATGCCAGCGATTGAACGCACGGTCTTGTGCATGCGAAGAAGATGCTCTACCGCCAAGCTATGGTCCTTCCGTCATTAACAATGGATTAATGGGAAGATGTATAACCACCAAACAAACAAATGAGCATGAATGCTCATTGCTGTTTATCTTCTCCGCAGACAAATAAAAACAAATGCTGAATACAGACTGGGCCTTCTCTAACCAGTGCATGAGCTTTGTGCAAGCGGTTCGGGATGAATGCTGAACAAACAGGTTGTATGGAGGAGCCCAAAGTGTGGGGTTAAAGGCAATATGGCAATATGGCTAACTCTATGCTGCAAAATTGATGCAAAGGCCCGACGTAATTTAGGAATGGTTCCCTGGTGTGGGATACACAGCAGGCAGGCCTGGACCTGCATTAGCTGACACAAATTAAGCGCCTGGTGTAAAACAAAGGTCAAACGAGCAAACAATTCTCCATGGCACTGTTGACTGGGGCGTGTTGAGCAGGCGAAGCCTGAGTTCTGCAACAGAGCCATGGGCCTTTCTTGTTTGCTGTGCAAGCAAGGAAAGGATGAATGCAAACATACATGGAGGTGTTTGTGGCTTTCCAGATCAAAAGTGCTTTCAGAGTGCTCCCACTCTGCGCGCACACAACAGAGAAAGAGATGAATATAATGCCACAACAGCACCGAAGGAACACCCAAATAAACCACGAGGGTTCCATCTCTGCAGGCATGGCGTAAACACTGAGGAGTAGGCGTTGACAAGCCTACCCCAGCTGAAATTTGCTTCCATTGAAACTAATGGAATTGTTCACTCCCGGGAGTGATAAAATTTCTAAGTGCTTCGATTTGGGTCTGAAAGGTTTACAATCTCTCCAGTGGCCCTGCAGCATAGTGCGGTCTTGAAAGCTGCTAGTTTGCACAGCCTTCACAGAGTTTCTGGGTTGCCGCCCATATTAGTCCTACTCTGAGTAGACTCACTGGAATGAATGACCATGAAGTAGTCAATAACGTGCCTGGGTCTGCTCTGAGCAGGAGCAGCATTGTAGACAATCCAGTGTCCACAATACTTCAAGAGCAACACTATGTGCCCTCCAGATGGTAGAACCGTAGAATTGTAGAGTCTGAAGGCACTCCTAGAATCATTTTGTCCAGTGATGGCCAAACTTGGCCCTCCAGCTGTTTTGGGACTACAACTCCCATCATCCCTAGCTAACAGAACCAGTGGTCAGGGATGATGGGAATTGTAGTCCCAAAACAGATGGAGGGCCAGGTTTGGCCATCACTGATTTAGACCAACCCCCTGCAATGGAGGAATCTCAGCTAAAGCATCCATAATAGATGACCATCCAACCTCTGCTTGAAAAGCTCCATGTTACTTGACTCCAGCTCTCATCATCTCCCAGCTCGTGGTCAGGGATGAAGGGCATTACGGATGCAACATCTGGAGAACATCACCCTGGCTACCCATCAGGAGGGTTTGACTTCCTTAAGAGCAAAACGTTTTTGTGGACTTGATCAGATGACATAAAACTGCATCAGAAGCTAATTTCTGTCCACCCTTGTTCCAGAATATTAGCGTCCCAAGCAATCATGCTCACAGCCATAGTAATATAGCCTTCCCCAAAACTGGGTCTCCAGATGTTTTTGGACCACAACTCCCATCATCCCTAGCCAGTATAGGCAATGGCCTGGGATGATGGGAGTTGTAACCCAACAATATCTGAGGACGCAGGAAGGCTGCTTTAAGTCTTCCTGGACATCCACTAGCCAGCCAAACGCATGTATGTTCATCACTCCCTTATGGCAGCATCAAGTTATGACTTGCATAAGTATGAATGAATCATCACAGAACAATCCCCACGGGGAGGAGAAGCCATACCACTCAGTGTCATTTCAAATGCACTTTTCCCAGTTGAGAGAGTTCACACATTCAGCTAAGAGCCATGATGTGATAAGTGATGAACTCACACTTGTGAATCAGCGGTGATGTGCAGTTTACAGGAAATTTTGAATTGGAATATGGTAATTCGCACTGTAAAATTTTCACTTTGAAAGGGTGGTTTCCTCCCCCTGATGCCTTAGAAGAGAGGTAGCCAACGCTGTGCCCTTCGTACATTATTTGACTACTAGAAGCGATCTAACGTAGCATGTTTATTTTACTTGTGCTCAGTAAACAAAGCTAAAAGCTTTGAAACGGCCAAGACTTGCCTAGCACTGTATCTGCAACTGACATCTATTCGTTACTGATGAATTTATGAAATGGAAAATGTTCTGCCCCACGTAACTGCTAATTAGTCGTGAAAGATGCACAACTTTTCCTCCTAATAAAGCAGAGATTTACAAAATGCTAATGGGAAAGTGTGGCTGTCACATTGTCACCTTGGAGCTATTTGCATGCATCATAATAAACTAAATTGTTTCAGCATTAATTTATGCATTTGTTGAAGAAATCAGGCACTCTAAGATGGGAGGAGAGTCTTTTTTCCAATGTTGCAGTAGGGGTTTTAATAAAAAGGCATGTCCTCTGCCCTCTCACACAAGAATGGATACCTCTCTTTAAAATTGAAGTTTATCATCCATCATCATTATCATCATTTTTAATTTGTATACTGTCTTTCTATCATACAATACTCAAGGCGGTTTACAAGCTGAAGAAACAAAATGAACATCTTATAACAATCTAATGCAATACAAAAATGTGATAATAAAACATAACTTTAAAATAGGTAACCGATATCAAAAAAGTAACATTCAACAATCATTAGAATAGTATTAAATAATAATATCCATGGCTTTGGGAGGTACTTATACAAAATAAAACATCTACATCTATACCTCCAAGTCTATGTCTATCTATCTAACTATCTGCTTCGAATTAACTGGAGGGACATTTTAAGTAAATTCTGATTGCTATGCATGCATTACGTGGGAGTAAAAACATACAAAATATTGAGCTGTAAATGTTAAGAGCCCTAGGGGGGGCTAAAAGGTAGGTAAAGGTAGAGGACCCCTGGACAGTTAAGTCCAGTCAAAGGCGACCATGGAGTGTGGTGCTCATCTTGCTTTTCAGGCCGAGGGAGCCGGCGTTTGTCCACAGACAGCTTTCCATGTCATGTGGCCAGCATGATTAAACCGCTTCTCACGCAACGGAACACTGTGACGGAAGCCAGAGCGCACGGAAACAACCTTTACCTTCCTGCCACAGGGATGCCTATTTATCTACTTGTACTGGCATGCTTTCGCACTGCTCGGTTGGCAGGAGCTGGGACAGAGCAACGGGAGCTCACCCCGTCTCAGGGATTCAAACCGCCGACCTTCTGATCGGCAAGCCCAAGAGGCTCAGTGGTTTAGACCACTCTCTCTCCTGTGGGATCCCAGGACCTGGGAGAACAAGGTTCAAAACTTACTGGGTGGCTGTGGGCCACTCTCTGCTTCTTATCCTAGCCTACTCCACAGGAATGTCGTAAAATGAAGAGAGGGGTGAACCATGTATGTCACCACCTTCAGTTCCTTGGACAAAAGGTGGGGTTGAAATCAAATAAGTAAAATATGTTTTTTCTAGCTTTGTTGTTTTGTAGCTGCTAACAAACTTGAAACTGCATCTGCAAATTGGGTCCAACTTTCCAGAGAATGTTACAGCCCCCGAAGACACTGATATTAACTGATTTCTATTTAATAATAATAATAATAACGACAATGTGCTGCCTTTTAAATGCTTACCAAACGGTTCCAATCAATTGCGATTCTTTCTCTGTAACTGAAGAGGAAAACGCAGAGGAAGGAGATGGAGGTGAAGCAAGCCGTCACCGACACAAACATCACCCAGCCCTGCAGCAGCGGCAGAGGGACGTGGGTGGCGGATACTAAAATCCAGACAAGTGCTCCGAACAGCTGAGAACACAAAAGGAAAACACAAAACAAAAGAAGGTCTTAAAACCGAAACGTATGTGCACAATAATCACAGTGTATTTACAAAATATGTGTCGTCCCGGACTTCAGAAAGTCACCGTTTGCCTCACTTCCTGGAACATTGCCACTCCATTCTGAATATAGGAAGCAATAGCTAGACAACTGATGTGGGCAGCACATGCCAATGCACCAGGTTCAAGGCTTTTGTGTTGATAGACAGAGCCCTGAACGATTTGGGCCCAGGATACCTAAGCCTAAGATTTGCCCCCTCAAAAATCCACGCCTGGAGCCATGGACCCTCTGGCACTCCCCACCCACCCACTAATCCTCTGGTTTATGGTGGATGCAGTAATCTCCTGGCCAGGGATCAAATGACACAGACTGCAGGGTGGTCATTCTCAGGCCCTTCCAAAGGGCAAAGCGAACGCTTGGAAGAGGAAACAAGGAATACTTTGTAGGACCAAGCCAAAACGAAACGGCTCGTTTTTTTGCTAGCGCTTCTGCACACCCTGAAAAGCACACCTTTCCCCCTGTGATTTTTTTCCCAGGGAAGGCAGGAAAGGGTGCAGCGGTGCCTTGGGTGTGCATGAGAAGAAATGTCCCTGTTGCCAAGGCAACTGGACCAATGATCCTTGTCATGCTGTGAGAGGAATCGCTGCATCCTGCCAGGGAGCCTTGCCTTGGCTGCCTCAGCAACGGAGATACGCTCGTGGGCTACGTGGAGTTGGGGTGTCATCATGCTCGCTGTGTGATAGCTGATTGGTTGGAGAAAAGAGCGGAGCTGAAGGAGCAGCAGGGAAGGGGGAACCCGCCAACTGCGAAGAACGTCGGGCATTTTGGTGAACCATTTCCACCAAGAACACTTTTGCAGGCAGAAATAAGCGCAAACCCATTGTATTACATACTTAAATCTCTCTGTTCCTCCAGGGAGTTCAAGGAGGCATTCGCAGGGTTCTCAGACAGTCTCCCATTCAGGTATTAACCACACCTGTTTAATTTCAGCCAAACTGTGTGCTCCTTCTGTCCATACTTGCTGTATGTCAGAACTGTCCTGGGTTTGTTAGGCCTTGTAATAAACTTCTTAATGGTAAGAGCAGCTTCCCAGTTATTTAGGAGGCTGGTGGGCTATACCTCACTATAGGTCTTCAAGCCATCAGTCAGGGATGCCCCAGATCTGTTTTTCTTGTGTTGAGCAGGGGGTGGACCAGGTGTGGGGGAACCTTTGGCTCTCTGGCTGTTGCTGAACAACTCCCATCATCCCTGGTCAGTGCTGTCAAGAGCTGTTGGGAGTTGTAGATCAGCATTGCCTAGAGGGCCAAGGGTTCCCTGCACTGCAGTAGACACTGTCCAGTCCACTGAGCCAGTGTGGTGTAGTGGTTAAGAGCAGTGGGCTTGTAATCTGGTGAACTGGGTTCGATTCCCCACTCCTCCACATGCAGCTGCTGGGTGACCTTGGGCTAGTCACACTTCTCTGAAGTCTCTTAGCCTCCCTCACCTCACAGAGTGTTTGTTGTGGGGGAGGAAGGGAAAGGAGAATGTTAGCCGCATTGAGACTCCTTAGGGTAGTGATAAAGCGGGATATCAAATCCAAACTCTTCTTCTTCTTCCATGATCTTGCTTGGATAATTTACTAACTCCACCACCTATCTGCATGATCCTGTGCTTCTATTTTACGCCTTCTGTCTAACTTGAGCTCTGCAAGGCGTTCGCTTCCCAGTCGCTAAATATTTATGACCCTACTAAGCAAACAAGGAGGGAATTTACTTTCGATCTCAAAGAGGGAAACGCTGTTCTGCTCTTAATCACTTGCTTATTCTGGAAAACTCTAGGCACATACAAGATAATCCTATGCATGTTTACTTGGGAGTAGGTCCCAGCGCATTCGCTGGGGCTTACACCCAGGTTATTTGCATAGGAATTTGCAGCTTCGGATTTCAAGCAGGCAATCTTGCTCCATATCCCTGCATCTCTACCAAGAGAGAGCAACACAAAAGTCAATTCATTTCACAATTGCTCCCTGTCTCTAAGGAGTTACAATTCTGGAGTGCAAGAGACAACTGTTCACACAAACAACGTATGGATCGCTTCAGTATAGTCTAGACGTACTTTATTTACTTGTGAACCAGCAAGCGTTTTAATTGCTACAGCAAACAATTAGCATGCAAACTTGTTCAGGAAACATGAATTTTAAAGAGAAGGGAGAGAACAGATTGAAATCCATTACTGAAATTATTTGTGTGTGTGCAGTGGTGGGAGAGAGCTCAATGAATCTACCCTACAATCAAATGGCAGGTTTTAAGAGAGGGAAGCCTGTGACTGGATTTCCAGTTTGGCTTGTTAGGCAAATGGTATATGACGGACTGTCCATTTTGTGAATCACACTCTGGATTTAAAGCGCCTTCATGGGCTACCATCCTTTGGGGGGTGGGCAGTGTTTGTCTTTAGCAGGTCCAGGGATGTTGGTAACAGGGAGTGGAAGCATCGTGGAGCTGAGCGCATGAGAAAGAATGAAGTTCAGGAAGGCGCATGCGTGATCCCGAGAAATAATGAGAGCAGGTGAGAATAGTAGGGAGAGGTGTTCCTGTAATGTGGGTGTGTCTGAGGAAGGTGTAGCAGACTGGGTCCATCCACACAGGTGAGAATAAGAAAAAAAACAAGGTTGCCAACCCGGTTCTTTGGCTGGGCTCCTATGGATTTAACAGCTGCATAGAAGGAAGAAATTTTTCTGGTTGCTGTGGGAAATACCAGCTCTTGAATTTTTGCATGCCGTTACAGGAGCCGTGCCAGGGGAACTCTGAAACTAAACCTAGCTTAGCAGTGTCTAGGAGGACTGGAGAACCTGTGGACCACGATTTCCATCATCCTCGGCCACTAGCTATCCTGGCTAGGGTTAAGTCCAACCACATTTGGGCAGGCAGAGTTCGCTATCCATGGTACAAGAAGGTTGCAATCTGTAGCTGCGATGAGCCACACCCAAGACTGGCTGTCACCACACATTCTGCGGCTGCTTTGACAACAAGCCAGTTAACCTTGAATGGAATGGGTGTATGAACTGGTCAGGATGAGAGAGTTGCGGTGGAGGGATGCAACACCTGCTGAAATTTCCTCTTCTATGGAGTGCCCTGTCTCTTTTGCATCTGGCCACCTTGGGAAGGCTGGATGGGGGTGGGGGAGAGGGATTTGTGGGGGAGGGCCATAGCCCAGAAGCAGAGCTTTGGATGCATCCATAATGTCAGAGGTCTTGGCTCCTAGTTACAAGATCTCTGGCTTTTACTTGAGACCCTGGAAAGCTGCTGCTATTCAGACAGCATGGGGCTTATACAGATAAGCGCCACATAATCAGGCAAGACAGGAAGCTTTTAACTAAGATGGCATGGGTCCAAGCAAGACGTGTAGGGTTGGGAAGAGAAATAAGTATTAAGTGAGCAATTAAGGGGGCTCTAGGAATGAGGCCATGTCGCATGATTTAAACCCATAACTGGCCCTAATGCAGCTATCATTTCAAAGACCAAGTAAACATGGAACATGGATTGAAGACTATATCATTTTTTAAAAAATCCAAATCAAGGAGGAAATGCGAAAAGCTGTAGCTAGGAAAGATTTGAGGGAATAGATAAACACAATTCTAAGAAGTGGTTAGGGAATCTGATGACTAACAGCTGTGTTCGGTAAGCGGCAATCGAACAGGTACACCTTTCACCCTGGTGTCAGTTTAGATCTCTCTCTCTCTCTCTCTCTCTCTCTCTCTCACACACACACACACACACACTCGTACTCCACCTTTCTTCCATGGAAGAACTCAAGGTGGGGATCCATCTTGGCAATGACCAGGTGCAGCTCTGCTAAATTCCAGCAAACTATGTGCCCTGGTTTAAGAGGGGAAGAGGGGCAGGTGTGGGACAGACATGTCACCTGGTGCATTTCTGCTAGGGAAGTGCTAGAAAGAGAAAAAGCATGCATGGGAAACCTATATTTTTCAACCAATGTTAAAAACTGCAACTGGTGGTGGTTGTTTTTTTTTAGCGCCCAGCGAGGCAACACAACCGCATAAAATCCCCTCCGGCACAATCATGGCAGAGAGATCCCGGAGTGCTCTCTTTCTGCCTCCCACTTGTTGCTGCCGCCCCGGTCGCCTCTCCTCCCACCCGCGCTCCCCCACTTACGATCTCCAGGCAGATGAAGGCCCCCGAGTAGGTGCGCAGGATCTCCAAGCCGGAGGGCAGGGTGATGCGCGGCGGCGGGTAGTAGGCGGTGGCGTTGGGGGGCGGCGGCATGGCGCCCCCTCGGGAGGAGATCATGGTTCCTCCGGGGTAGGTGGGGGGGATCCCAGAGCAGGGATCGAGCGATCGGGCGAAGGAGGGAGGGAGAGAGGCAGCAGAAGCGGCGGCGGCGGCAGCAGCAGGAGCCCCTGACGTGGCCGCGGCCAGGTAGGGAAGGAAGAAGGAGGGACCAGAAAGGGAAGCGCGGAGGCGCAGGTGGCGGGCCGGGAGAGTGTAGTCGCTGGGCGCCGCCCCGCCGATCGCCCGCCCCCTTTCGCCGATCGCCGACGCGGCCTTGGCGCCCACCTTCCCGCGTCCGGTGCCGAGCTAGAGGGGGCTCCGTCTTGATCAAGGCAACGCAAACACACGTGCGCGCGCATGCACACGCACACGCTTCTTCCACACGCCTCTTTAATCAGGGCAAAGCGTGTGCTCGGCGCTGTACAGGCTGACACAAACCTGGCCTGCGTCCCAGTGGCGTAGCGTGGGGGGTGCAGGGGGGGGCGGCCGCACCGGGCGCAACATCTGGGGTTAGGGCAAATCCACAGGTTAGGGGGCGCAAATCCACGGGTTAGGGGGCACAAATCCACGGGTTAGGGGGCGCAAATTACTTGCCTTGCCCCGGGTGCTGACAACCCACGCTACGCCACTGCTGCGTCCGGAATCTTGGCCGTCTCTAAGCACCGAGTCCCTTTTAAGGGTGTTTTTTTCTCTGTAGGGGGCATCCCTGGTGCCCGATTTGTGTTTGTGGGAAGGCTAGGAAAGAAGGAAGGAAATAGAACTTTGCACACGCTCAGGAGCATAGGAAACTGAGTCGGACAATTGTCCCGTCTAGCTCTGCATTGGCCACATTGAGTGGCAACAGGAATCTCCAGGATTTCAGGCGCGGATTTCTCCCAGCCCAATCCGGAGAACGCACCCGGAACTTTACGCGTCCAAAGCCCCCTGTTAAAAAGCAATGCTAAGGCCCCCTGTTAAAAAGCATTGTGCACCCTTGCTTGGGAGTGAGACCGATTGAACTCGATGGGGGCTTACTTCTGAGTAGGGAAATGCTGTTGAAGTGACCCCCCCCCCCCCAGCAGACCCCTTGAAATCAAGACTAAAGTTACCGAAATGCACCGATTTCAACAGGTAATGCTCCGAGCTGCAGCAAAAACCAGCCAAGAACCTGGTGGCACTGTAAAGATTAGTACAAGTTTTATGGCTGCCTGATAGCTTTCATGGCTTTAATCAGGTGTGGGAAACCTTTGAGCCTCCTGATGCAGCTCCCATCATCCTTGGGCATTAGCCATGCTTGCTGAGACGGATGGGAGTTGTAGTTTAGCAACATCAGGAAGGCCAAAGGTTCCCCACCCCTGGCCTAGATGCATGGAGTGTTGGCCACCATTGATATGTAAATATATGCATGTTCCTGTTGTGTTAAAGGTAAAGGGACCCCTGACCATTAGGTCCAGTCATGGCGCTCATCTCACTTTATTGGCTGAGGGTTGTGGCGCTCATCTCACTTTATTGGCTGAGGGAGCCGGCGTACAGCTTCCAGGTCATGTGGCCAGCATGACTAAGCTGCTTCTGGCGAACCAGAGCAGCGCAGGGAAACGCCATTTACCTTCCCGCCGGAGCGGTACCTATTTATCTACTTGCACTGGTGTGCTTTCAAACTGCTAGGTTGGCAGGAGCTGGGACCAAGCAATGGGAACTCACCCTGTTGCGGGGTTTCGAACCGCCAACCTTCTGAGTCCTAGGCTCAGTGGTTTAACCCACAGCGCCACCTGCATCCCTCCTGTTGTGTTACTATTGTAGTAGAATAGTAACACAGTAATTTCTTACTGTTTCGTTCTCTTCCTGTTCCAATAGTGCCTTTGAAAGCGGGGTGAAATAGCCAAGGAGGTGGGAAGAGCAGCCAGCCAGGAGTCTGAACTAGGTTGTCCAGATGCAAAAGAGGACAGGGGTGATGCTATAGATGAGGGAATTTGCATCTCTCCTCTTGCATCTTGTGTATGCAGCTTGCAGGATGCGTAATGGTTACCTAGTAGTTACCGTGAAGAAGCACATGGATGCTTCTTCAAGTGGAAAAGATGCTGAGTCTGCCCCTTTGCACATTACATAAGTAGGCTTTTGCACATTCCTCACAATGGAGATTTGGGAGTTGTCGTTGTAGCTCCATGCGGATATATGTGTTTCACCTTCATCAGATACCATTCAAGCTTCAGCGGCACAGAACAGAATTCCATCACTCCACCCATATTTCAAATGAATGGGGGAAGGTCTTCTTGTCCATACTGAAGTTAGGTTTCCAGGATCTGCTTCAGATTGCAGACCTTGCTGTGTGTATGGACGTGGCGATAAGCTCTCCTTATGTTCTTATGTTCCAGCAAGGAAAAGCGCTCTGCAGAAGCAGGCTTGTGAGCTCATAGGCATTGCAGATGCAGGTGTGCCTCTAGCATGGGTAGGCAAACAAAGGCCCGGGGGCCGGATCCGGCTCACTCGCCTTCTAAATCCAGCCCGTGGACTGTCTGGGAATCAGCATGTTTTTACGTGAGCAGAATGTGTCCTTTTATTTAAAATGCATCTCTGGGTTACAGTGGTACCTCGGGTTACAGAAGCTTCAGGTTACAGACTCCACCAACCCAGAAATAGTACCTTGGGTTAAGAACTTTGCTTCAGGATGAGAACAGAAATCGTGCTCCGGTGGCATGGTGGCAGCAGGAGGCCCCATTAGCTAAAGTGGTGCTTCAGGTGAAGAACAGTTTCAGGTTAAGAACAGACCTCCAGAACGAATTAAGTTCTTAACCCAAGGTACCACTGTATTTGTGGGGCCTGCCTGGTGTTTTTACATGAGTAGAATGTGTGCTTTTATTTAAAATGCATCTCTGGGTTATTTGTGGGGCATAGGAATTTGTTCATTCCCCCCCAAAAAAATATAGTCCCCCCCAAGGTCTGAGCGACAGTGGACCTGCCCCCTGCTGAAAATGTTTGCTGACCCCTGCTCTAGAGGCTTACAGGTATTCATCCAGGCTCTGTTGATGAAGCAGGTTACATCTCTTTATGCAGATGCAGACATGCATCCCTACCCATGACCACCAGTTCTTACATGCAACTCTTTGGGTCTTTGCATCAGGTAAAAAGGTAAAAGTAAAGGACCCCTGGATGGTTATGTCCAGTCAAAGGTGACTATGGGGTTGTGGCATTCATCTCGCTTTCAGGCCGAGGGAGCTGGCGTTTGTCCACAGACAGCTTCCCGGGTCATGTGGCCAGCATGACTAAACTGCTTTTGGCGCAACAGAACACAGCGACAGAAACCAGAGCACACAGAAACGCAGTTTACCTTCCTGCTGCAGTGGTACCTATTTATCTACTTGCACTGGCATGCTTTTGAACTGCTGGGTTTGCAGGAGCTGGGACAGAGCTCACCCCGTCACACGGATTCGAACTGCTAACCTTCTGATCAGCAAGCCCAAGGGGCTCAGTGGTTTAGACCACAGCGCCACCTGTGTCCCACTGTCTTTGCATTAGAGCAGCAGGAAAGGGACACTGTGGACCTTCAGATATTGTTGGGTTGCAACATCCATCGTCCCTGATCATTGGATAGGGAATCCATTGGAGTCCCACCAATTTCTGAAGGGTTCCCATGCCTGCATCTGAGTCTTTTGATTTCTACAGTCCTGAAATGCATCACACCGTTTGTTTTTTTCTGCATTGCTTGTTTTCCCCATTATTATTTTAAAAAATTATTGCTTGTAAATCCTTTTTTTCAAAACCACCAACCCAGCCTGTGTTTGCACTTCCTCCAGCCTTATAAAAAGGCAGGTGGAGCAGCCATGAGGAGCCGCTCCATAAATGCAATGCCAGCCATTTGCTCCACTCACAGAAGATTGTAAGCCATTTTGATCAGATTGCAAAAGCATTATATAGATATGTACCAATGTTTTAATATTGTTGTGAGTCTGGGGATTGGGGCAGTAAGGGTCAATGGAGCCAGAGACAGCTTTAACAGCCCTAGCATAATTGCCAAGTATCTTCCTTTTCTTAGGGAAATCAGCTGATGGTTTTCAGTGGATTGGAAATAACTGAGAACTGGATACCTTTCTCTTCGCGGATCTATACACAAGGGGGGAAAACGCTATAAATAAGTCAGAAATAAAATAGTTATAACCAAAGAAAAAAATGCTTTGGAAAATCACATAGATTTATTTTTTTACTTTCCAGCGCCATCTGGTGTTGCATGCTTATAACGCATTCAAAAGTTGTTTTTTGACTAATATAGCTGAGTCCTCTCTCTTTTCTTTCCACCCTTTGCTAAGGATGATGTATAATCTAGAGCAGTGTTTCCCAAACTTGGGTCTCCAGCTGCTTTTGTTGGACTACAGTTCCCATCATCTCTGACCACTGGTCTTGCTAGCTAGGGATGATGGGAGTTGTAGTCCAAAAAAACCAAAACAGCTGGAGACTCAAGTTTGGGAAACGCTTATTTAGGTACTTCCAGGCTTTCACTATTTTCAGGTAGGATTCAACCGCATAGCAGCAAATTAAGGTTGTGCAATTATGGTTGACTGGGAACTCATGCACAACAAATCTGCTTTATCCAAAAGACCGTTCTATTTGTGGCAGGAAAATGCACTGGAGAGCATGGGGTAATGCTTGCTTTGATATGGACTGGACTGGTTGGCATCTATCTGCCTTGGGAGGCAGTGGAGAGGTGAAGTCAAAGTGTTGAAGAGTTACAGCGCCTGCTGTGGCTGTAGAGACCAATGTGGGAGAGACATGTTTTGTTGCAGCTGGGGCAGGTCAAGGCGTCCGGTTGTGCTGATACAGGTGCACCATGGCGTTTCTTTCTGTGATCCTCCCAGCAGTCATTCCTTCTCTGGTCACTGCTACACAACCTGACTGATCGTCTCCAGTTGCTGAAGAATCTCCCCCACAAACAAATCGGAATGAATGCTCAATAAACAGGTTATCCGGAAGCACCGTGGGTTGTGTTTGTGATTGCAATTTGAGAAAGAGCGTTTGGGCTGTGTGGGCAACTTAGAGTGTTGACTCTCTCTCTGGAGATCTGATGTGGGGGCTGTGGACTTTGAAGTGCTCAAGCTGTGCCTCCGTTGCATAGGCTGTGCACAACCTATATATTTGCATGTACAGTGGTACCTTGGGTTAAGAACTTAATTCGTTCTGGAGTTCCGCTCTTACCCTGAAACTGTTCTTAACCTGAGGTACCACTTTAGCTAATGAGGCCTCCCGCTGCCGCCACTGCATGATTTCTGTTCTCATCCTGAAACAAAGTTCTTAGCCTGAGGTACTATTTCTGGCTTAGCAGAGTCTGTAACCTGAAGCGTCTATAACCTGAAGCGTCTGTAACCCGAGGTACCACTGTATATGTTGTGCGGATG